ACTAACGCATTATATAATACTAGTAAATACCTACTTTTTTTCTATTTTTATATTTTTTTCTTTATATAATACTCTACTTTAAATTTTTTCCGGAGAAAAGGGATAATATTAGGGGATAAACCCTAGTTTATATAAACTCGAGCTATACCCTTATAAACTAAGGCCCTAGTAAGTAAGGCTTAGTAAAGGGAACTTTTTTTCTTATTTAGGCTAGAAAGCCCTTTTTTTTCCTTAATAGATTTTTACTATTAAGTAGCTATAAGCCTTATAGCTTATTTTTATTAGTAATTAGATAAACCTTTATAAAGTAAAGGATAATATAAGGCCGGGTAGCTAGCTTTACTAACAGCGCTATAAAAGAGTATAAATTAAGAACCGATTTTAATTCCTAACTACTAGCTACTTATATACTTACTACTAGCTAGCACTAAGCCCCCCCTAAGGCCTAATACTTACTCCTTTCTTTATAGGGCCTATATTTTTATAGGCGGTTATAGCGTATAAGTTACCTTTTAGCTATTTACCTAAGTTTTTATAACCTTTAAAGTCCTTATAACGTACTTTATAAGCAAGCGGCCCACCTAAATAAGTAGCCTACCTTATTACCGGAACGCGCTTTATTAACTTTTAACTACTATACCTTAATAATATAATACGCAATTAATTTAAAAAGAAGGCTAGATATATATAGCTATTTTAGCAATCGATAAAAAGCAGTTTAAAAGCGTGCAACGCGCTGTTGCAATATACAACGTCCCCCGAACAACCCTATAACAACAACGCGCCGGAACAACCGCCCGACGCGATTACGAGCCTAATTTAAAGAAGCTTATAAAGCTGGAGGAATTAGTTGTTATTTAATATATAATTAACCTAGATTCGAAAGGGTTTGCACTGCAGCTAAGCGCTGTATAAAATATAGCTAATAAGCTGCTAAATAAGCGCGGTACCGGCTAAGTTAGTAAAAACTAGCTATATAACTTTGTTAAGCAGACTAATAAGCTTTAAACACGGTTTAATTAAAAGTATAATTACTAGAAAGCCCTATATAAAGATCTAAGAATTATTATACTATAGTTTAAGCTTATATATAATATAAAGGCGAAGTATAGTATTATAGATAATAACTTTTATAACTTTAATAAAACCGGCTTCTAAATAGGTGTTATCTTAATAGGAGTAGTTATTACAAGCTCTAAAAAATAGAATTAACTAAAAGCTATATAATTAGGCGATCGTAAGTAGGCTACTATAATTAAGGCTATTAACGCTTATAGGTGGGCAATCCCGCCGTTTATTATCCTTGCGGGTAAATACCACCTTTTTATATAGTATAAGGGCAGTAATATACCGCTAGACTAGGCTATAGCAGTAAGCAATAACGGCTGGACGATAAATAAGCTTAGTATTATATAGCTGCAATATTTTAATATATATATAAAGGACCGCACTATAGGTATATATTGCTTGCTTATTTTAAACGGTTATAAGAGCTATAACTCGCTTAAATTTAAAGAGCTTTATAAGGAGAATAATATTATCACGCTATATATACTACCGCACGCCTTATATTTATTACAGCCGCTTAATATAGGCTGTTTTACGCTGTTAAAAAAAGCGTACGGTTGCTAAATTAAGGATCTAGCGCGCAACTATATTAACTATATTATAAAGCTTAAGTTCCTACCAGCTTTTAAAGTAGTATTTAACAACTTATTTATAAAGAGTAATATTTGCGCAAGCTTTTAAGGCGCCGGCCTTATACTGCTTAATCTAGAGGTAATGCTTTTAAAGCTTAATATTATACTTTATATACTATTGCCTTCTGTTATAAAGGCTTAATAGGAATTAAAAATACTAAGCAATACTTTTAAGCTAGGCTCTTAATTAGCTTTAATTTATAATCGCATTTAAATATATTAATATAGCTCTTCTACTATAATTTTTAAGTTGCTTAATTTGCTTATTAGAGGCGCTGAAATGCAGATATATAGGGCTATATTATTACGCGATTAGGTTATAAGCCTTTAAAAGGCGAATAAGGCTGCTATAAAGCGTAGAGAGCGCAAAAAAAAGCAAATTTAGAGGTAAAAAGTCCTAATAAAGGCATAGGGCTCTAATATAATCGCTTAAAAGGAAGCTAATAAACAAATTAAGGGGGAAATACGTTAAAATAGAAGGCGCCCAGGTGGAAGTGCACAGCAGCAGGCGCGCTGCAGGCGCTGCGGCAAGATAGGATATAACTCTTATACGTGTTAAAAAGATAAGGAAATTATTATAGATTAGACTGCAGGTTATATTAAGTTAATATCTATTAGCGTTATAGAGCAATTTATATTTAATATTGCGATTTACTTATAAGGTAGGCTACTTACTTAAGTGGGCCGCTTGCTTATAGAGTACGTTAAGGCTTTTTTATAGAATTAGTAAATAGGCTATAAGCCCTAGGTTTATAGGTTAGAACTATATACCTAAAAAGGCCTATTTAGTATTATAACACCTTAGTAGTTTAAACCTAGGACTTTATTAGTTTTTAAAGTATAAGGCCAGGTAGCTAGCTTTACTAACAGCGCTATAAAAAAGTATAAATTAAGAACTAATTTTAATTCCTAACTACTAGCTATTTATATACTTACTACTAGCCAGCGCTAAGCCCCCTTTAAGGCCTAATAGATAAGGATATAATTACTTATATATACGCTGTATTTAGAAAAAGTATTTAGAATTTATAAGCGAATTAGAAGCTTTAGCACGGTTTCTAAGCTAATTAGAAGGTGGTAAAGCGCTAAAAGTAGGGTAGAGGTGTATAAATAGTAAAAAAGGGTATATAGTTAGTAAAAAGGGGTGTATAATTAGTAGCGCCTAGAACTTAATACTATACTAAGGATTATAAGAAATTTTTATAGATAAGGCGTTTTAATATTATTAATATTAGTTAATTAACTTAATTAATATAGACCTCTGCTAACTAAGCCTTTAACTTAACTAATATTAAAAGGCAGGTTAATTAAATTAATTGAATAGAAACTCTAAAAGGAACCCTATTAAGCTAAAAGGTAATATATATAAGCTAAGGAATAGCGCTAAAAATACGCTAGTATAGTAGCGTGTAGACGGCTGCTATATTTCGCTTTATAGTAAATAATTTAGGATTAGTGCTCGACTAAAGTAAAACTATAATATATGCGGAATATATTATTAGAACGTATAATTATAAGCTTTATAAATGTTTTTTTATTATAAAGCTATTATATATAGCTAAGTCGGCGTTTTATATAAATCTTACCTTTATCTAAATATTATAGGTATTTTTTTAAAATTTACTAGATCTTTACGCTCTTCTAGATCTTTAAACTTAACTAAACCCCTAAACTTTACTAATCTCTAGAAGTATCTAGACCTCTAAAATCTACTAGGTTCCTAAACTTAACTAAATCTCCACGGAACTATATTAGGGTTAGCCGAAATAAGTCCGTCGGATAATAAGTCCTACTAATTAGCGGATGCCGATAAGGTCCCCTGTATATGCCGCACCCGACCTCTAGAACTCGGCCTTAACTTTTAGTATCTAATAATAATATTTATCACGAGAAGAGACCTCTATAAAGAAGACTTAATTGCGCACTAGGAGCCCTGGCGTCTATAAGGAAAGCTTCTAGCTGCGTTCCAGGCATACGTTAAGCTAGTAATTCTTGACGACTTTGCTGACATCAGGAGACAAACTTATTACTACCGTGATCTGCTACTTCGCTATCTAGGAATAGGCCACCACTTAACAGAAGTACAGGAGATTGCTCAGGTCCTCCCTGTAGCTTTTGCGCTTGAGATTTTGACTCGATCCATGCGTGCTCGCGCTTCCGCTATGCACGAGATCGAGGGCATGACCGCATGGCTACAAAAGCAAACGCCCAGACGCATAGATCGTATTGCCAGACATTTCATCCGTGAGATACAGGCACTGATTTACGACAGAGCGGTGACTGACATCAAGCAAGGCGATTTTGGCAAACCCGTATGGGCTGACCTCGAACGTGGTTATAAGGAGTCTGGTCCCATTCGTGGCTGGCTAGGCTTCTTTTCCTTAATATCGTTCAGACTCTTGGAGGGAGTCATAGAAGTCTGCGGCATTCCTGCGGACGATCCCAAGTGCCACGTCTGCTTTGAAGAGTTGAACAACGATACTCATCGTGCACTTCGCACGGTATGTTCTCACATTCTGGGTGCCGAGTGTCTCGCGGAATGGATCCGTGAAAGCCCGACGTGCCCTATGTGTAGAGGCTCTTTGCGAATGCTACTACCCTAGCTTCATCATTCGACAATCCCGATAGCGAGAGCCGCTAGACGTCCTATGACGCTTATGCTATCAATAGTGATGACTTAAGAGTGCTACTAGAACTACTCTAACCTTACCAAACGCATATTCTCTCTTTATGGCAGTTCCCTATTTTCACTTTCTCTCTCCGGCGCAATTCTTCCAATCAATGCTAAATCGAATCATAGGTCTTTCGCGCTTGACAATCCCACGCACATAGATCTTTGAGCAGTTCGCAATTATTCTGGAATATGCGAGACGACGTGCATGAGTAGAAGTAAATTAAGATCCAATATTTATGCAAATTTCTTCATCCCTTCTATTTCTTAATAAACTACTATCTTTTACGCACGCTCATGAGCACATCATGTCTCCTGATTCAATACTGAATATGACCTGCTAAAGTGGTATTTCCGCCTAGGTCTACACAATGCAACTCATTGTACATTCGAGTCACACAGTTGGGGTACTTGTTTCACGGTCAACTTCTCACAACAGCAATTCACGACGAGGCATTGTTAGTACACATTCACTTCGATGATCCTATTTAAGTGTCCCTATCTCGCGTTGCTTCACAAACTACACATATCTGTCTCAAACGTGTTCGCTATCCCAACTGAACCTTACACCAAATTCACATCACCAAAACTTAGAGATTCCAGACCGACAAGATACAGAACGTCTCAATATGCCACACAAACTAGATCCTCCAAAGTGGAACGTGACCCACTTCGACTTCGACGTCGCCCAGGAGTCGACTCAAAACGCCCCTGATACCATAGAGAGGTCAGATGTCTCTAATCAGAACCGCCATCAAGGGCTCGGCCATGCAACGAGTCCAGTCCTCGGCGGAACCAATCAACTGAAGGCTGAGAACTCTAAAACTCATAACAGCCAGGTTCATGAAGTCCAATCTGTATCGAACAGCCGTACCAACCAGCTCGTGTGCCTCCACGCCGCCATTCGAGAGCTGAAGGAGCAAAAGAAACGCCGAAATGAGTTCCTAAAGAAGTTTGGAGGAGATGAACAATTCTGCAAAGATACGACAGCTCTAGCTGCCAAGATCTCGCACATGGACTACACCCTAGGTTTCGCCGGAGAAAAGTTCACCGATGAGATTGTACGAAACTTCCTGGATGAGGCTACTAGCTTGGTAGTGACCCAGAAACAGGTGATTGGTGAGCCTGAGCGCGCCGCGACTCAACGAGTCCTCTATGATTGTCGGGAAATGGAGGCCGTCTCGGCTTCTTTCATCAAAGGCGCAAAATGGAAGGCCGAGGACCAGCGTCTTCAGCAACGTCGACTTCCGCCATCCCAACTAGAGACCTACGATGACCGCTTTCAACGTCTTTGCGACACGCTCAAGGAGCTCCAGGAGGACATAGCCCGCCGGAACCTTCTCATCGGAGCATACGATTTCGCCTTTCAATACCGATCCCGAGCCATAATTGTCAAGTCCAACATCAACATGCTGATCCGCCGCGTTAGCCTTGCGGGAGAGAATGTGGCCGAGGATGAGCTAAACAGGCTCCTAGCCGATGCTCTTGAGTTGGTTTCTACGAAGAGGTCAGATTTCCTGCCCGAGCGCCCTGCAATGAATATTGCACACCAGTTCAGCGATGTGAAGTGGCAGGAGGCGCGACGTGAGGGTCCAGATAGTCCTCCTGTCAGCCCACGTACTGTGCTGTGCCTAAACGTGAGTAGATATTGAAGCTTGAGGCGATGAGAAAGGGCTAATAATAGAGGCACTTTCAAGGCGTGATAACCTTCAAGGCGTGATAACCTTCAAGGCGTGATAACCTTCAAGGCGTGATAACCTTCAAGGCGTGATAACTTACCTGGCGACGCATCTATATCTAATCGGAAAAGGATGAAGTGATTCGCTCTTATAAGCTGGGCAAAGTCTGACAAGAGTCCAAATCACTTATGATAAAGTAGCATCTACTCGACAAGGGACGCAAAGCAAATCAGAGGTTGATGAAGTGGCTAAACTATATGAGCCGGTCACTATCACAATACGGTAACTCCTTTCCCCAAACAAAAACTCCATGCTCGTGACGCCAAGTTATTTTCTTAAATCTGTATGTAAAAAGTGAGGACTCTTATTAGAGTAATCTTAGTGAAGATGCAACCTCAGCTCCGAGCCAAAGGAAATTCAATATGAGCTCCACAATTAGCTACCCAGTACCATTTCCCCCTTAAATCCCAAATTTCATGCCCATGAACTAAAAGATGACCAATATGAAGAACATGTAACCTTGATTCCGAGCCAGAGAATATTCAATCTGAACCTTAATCTCTGACGTAGAGTAACGCAAGCTTCGCTGTGAGACCATCGCTATCAACGATCCCTCAGGACGTCTTCGATCGATTGATCTATTTCTCGCAACTGAACGAGTCTTTGCTCTAACCTCTCGCGCTCCGCCTCCGAGCCACCACCCTCAGCCTCCAGGTCATTCAAAAGGGCTTCAAGCGCTTCGGAAAAAGATCGCCTAGCCTCCTGTCCCTCCCGTACAGTGTTCTGTAACTGCTCCTGCATCTCCTGGCCGCGCTGCTCAGCCTCCCGCGCCTCTCGTGCGGCCACTACCTCCCGTTGGCGAGCTCCGTTTAGCTCCCTCCTAGCCTCCTGCATCGCACGTGGGGCCACCAAACAGCGTTGATGTCGATGAGTTTCGTCCCGTCCCCTCGTCCCGTTCCCTCTGTATAGCTTAGTCCTACATAAGGGGCAAGTGTCCACATTAGGATTGTTGCTTGAGAACCAGTCAGCAAGGTAGCTCCGGCCAAAGATGTGGCTGCATCCAGTAATCCCAGTAATTTGAATCGCGGGATCATCCACTCCGAATTCGCAATGGCAAATTGGGCATTCGGGCAAGTCTAGATCGGCTAGAACGCTATCATTAACCTGGATGATGTTGTTCTGCATGAATTCCTCAGAGGTTTTTAGCAAAGCGGTAGACATAATCGAAGGATTGCTTAAGTTTGTAGTAACCGTGGCTTGTAGAAGAATGGGTCGCGGCTATTGAGAAATGTGTGGTGTGAGGTGTGGTGTTGAAATGGTCGGAATTGGACGATGTTAGGAATTCGGGTTGAACTTCTATTCATGTGGCGTTATAGCGCGATAAAAGGTGAATATTGTAGAAGGTGAGTGCCAAGCGCGATAAACGTAAATAACATGATGATAGAGTGAATTAGCTATGTTCACCAGTCACCATCCTTCAGGAAAGGCGTCTCTCACAAACGCACCTCGAAAGCTGCCCGGCAGCGGTTTGGATCAGGCTCATGCACCTAGAGGCCTCCAGACGATACTCTTAGGCTGGAAAAGTAGCGCACATTCACTTTTTGGGATTTGAACCCTACAGTCTACCACCTTCACGTTAGGGTCTTTTCACAAGCTCGAAGGGCCTCAATATGTATACTTGAGTTTCTACTACAAATACCCGGTAAACACAATAGAATTGCACGTGTTTCCCAGTTTACGAATTCATGTAGAAAGGGGATTGAAACTAATAACAAGGGCTGGATATGCAAGGGAATCCAATGGAGAAACCCCTTCCCCATCCCGAAATGAGGCTTAAGCAACGAATTCAGTACCATGCTCTGAATTTCGTAAATAGGCTAGAAGCAAGTGAACTATCGTAAAGGCAATGCACCATAACGGAGCCCATCTCGTCAGTTGCTCCCTCACTCCTAGCTAGCCAAGAGTAGCTACTCTGATAATCTTGGTAGACGCACTTGTTTATGAGGTAGCAGAGACATACTGACAAGATGTTCCTAGCGCCCGCCGAGGCTCAAGGTCTTTCGAAAAGCTTACTTCTCGTCTTGCTCGGCCCGTGGTGCACGGCGGTGGGCATCTTGCTCCCGCTCCCTGCGCCTCGCCCTTCGTTCACGCCGCCGATGCTGCCGAAGTTCTAGGACCTGCCGCTCACCCGCCTCTCTATATCGATCTAGCATGTCTTGGAGAATGAAAGACTGTGCTCGAATCTCGTCCCGTCCCACATCTGCCGCAGATAATGACCGAATATAACGTGTTTGTGCCTCTATGTCCTCGTCCCATTTCGACTTCCCGTAGAGCGGACTACGACACAGCGGACATTTGTTTTTGTTGGCGTTAGTATTGTCGCTTGTTAGCCAGTCGACTAAGCATTGGTGACCGAAAACGTGCTGGCATTCAGATGTAAATCGAATCCAGACCGCAGGGTGGCTGGCATTGAATTCTTCGTAACAGATTTGGCAGTTCTCCAAGAGTGCAGGGTTGGAAGGGTCAACATTGCTAAGCATAGTGCAAATGAAGCCCTCGGCCGTAGATGGGAGAAAGGCGGACATTGTTGTTCGTAGTTTGGTTGACGGAGTTGTGGTTGGTGGGTAGTGAAAACGCGGTGTGGCTTTTTCAGCGTGTGGAGTGTGAGCGGTCTCAGGTTGTCGTAAGTTCGATGTTATTTATAAGTATATCTAGAATAAGGCTACTCTACGTCAGGAGCTGACTACGAGGCATTCAAGGACAAGTCGTCCGGTTAGTGTCGGCTATAACACTCAGGTTGAAATTGATGTGAACTCTGATTTCTATAGACGTCTAGCTAGTTGTATATATACTAGGGGAAGGAAGGGGGCCACCCCCAGGGTGGCGCGCTAGTAAGTTCAGATGAGCCCTGCACAGCTGAGGCTTCAGCTCGGTTCTCTACAGCTGAGATTTCAGCTGGGTTCTCTACAGCTGATGTTCGGAGAGTAGCTTTCTGGCATATGAGTTGTTGATCCTAGGTTGTAGTGCTGCAACCTGAGTCACCCCACAGCAACGAAAGATGCTGAATCCCAACGTCCATTCCTAGATCCTGCTAGTAACGTCCTGTAGATTTAGCTGTTGAACGAACAGCTCGTGCTTTTGTCGAGGGAGGGCCTTCGTAAGCCCATCTGCAATCATATGTTCGGATGCCACCCAATCAATTCGTACGTGACCGGCTTGTACTTCCTGACGAAGCCAGTGGTTGTGAATGTCTACGTGCTTTAGTGACGTATTCAAATGCCCGCCCGATTTGCTGAGTAGTCGAATTGTTTGTTGGTTATCGCATAGAATAGTTATCACCTCATTTCCCTCAAGAACAAGGTCCAGTGACGTGAACAATCGTTGCCACCACATGAATTCCGACACGGCGTTGGAAACAGCAGTGAGCTCGGCATCCGTAGATGATTTTGTGACATGGTTTTGTTTTGTTGCTTTCCAATCTACAGGGCCCCCGAATAGTTTCAGGATGTAGCCCTGCGAGCTGCGGCGTGTGATGGAATCGTCGGCGAAGCTGGCATCACTAGCCCTAACGAGCATTTAATCCGTATCAACGGTGCTGCCATCGTAGCAGAGAGCGTAGCCACGCGTTTGGTATAGGTATGCAATAGCCCTATTAGCAGTATAGTAGTGGCCTGCCGATGGATTCCGGCTAAATTCTGCCAGCCTAGAACACGTACGTGCGATGTCTGGGCGCGTGTTGATGGCTGCGTATAGTAGGGACCCAATTTTCTGTTGGTATCCGTGTATTGAGAGGGCACTGGCTTCTTGTTCGTATGGAATGAGGTTGTCAATGGCTAGGGGTGTATGGACCCGTAGTGCATCTTTCTAATAGAATTTTCCTGCAATTTTATTAAGGTACGAATCCTGGCATAGCTACAGCCGTTTTATAGGGCGATTACGGAGTATTCAAATTCCTAGGAACCAGCTGGCCTCGCCTATATCCTTTATCTTGTATCTGGCTATAATCGCATGTTTAAACGCTGTTAGGTAATAGTTGTATTACGGTATACAGCACGCAATAAGATTGTCTATATAGAAGAATACAATAAAATAGGGGCTAATAAATAGGCACGGAATTCCTAGAACTTCCCTTAGGCCTAGTTCCCGTAGCGTTTTGGATTAATTGTTTAGCTAGAGAAGGGGGGAACAACGTAGGCTGTATAGGCCCTTGTTTACCTTTAGCACGTATCCGGGATATTTAAATCCATCCGGATACTTAATATATACTAGCTTATTAAGTTCCGGGTTTGTAAATGCTAATACGGCGTCTGCCTGCTAGGTGTTAAGATCTGCTGCTATAATAAGGGCAGCACAGGCACGGAACGTTTGTCCAGCTAGTGTTGCTGTGTATATATCCTCTTCCGTTGCCTTTTATAGGTCCCTGCGTACATAAAGGCGTGCTTTATAATATAGTAGATGCCCGTTCTTATTAAATTTGTACGTGAATACCCACGTAATAGGGATTATATAGAGCTTTAAATCTATAAATTGTTCTACAGCAGTAAACGTTCCACGGCTTACTAGGTTATCTAGTTCGCGTTTTGCTGCCGCTATAAACCCGTCCCGTTCGGGATGGTTTCGTAGTTGTTTCCAGTGCCTTGGTGCTTCCTGGAGAGAATCCCTGTGAGGGCCTGCTGGTGCAGTAGTAGGGCCTGCCGTATACGTTGCTTATAGTGCAAGGGCCGCGGCAAAGGCGGAATATAGGCCCGGCAGGGCATCGTCGTACGCATCGTGTTCGGCGATAGCCGAATGCAGCGCTGTACGGGGCTTAGCTGGTTTTTTGTCTTGTACAGGACAAGAGGACGAATCTATAGGCGCTGTAGATGCCGTAGTGGCCGTTATGGCAGCTAATGCTGTAGTGGCTGTAGTGGCCGTAGTGGCCGTAGTGGCCGTAGTGGCCGTAGTAGCCGTAGGGGATATAGATCCGCTGTTCCTGTCCACCCCCGAGGCTACGGAGATAGAACGGGACAATAGCGTAGCCGATTGCACGGGGGATCTAGATCTTGGTAACAGCGTGTCCGTAGGTGTAGGCAGGCCAGCTGCGCTTTCCGCGGACGAATATTTGCTGTCTAGTTCGGTTAATAGCTGTTAAGGCTGTTGCCGCGGACGTACAATAATAGTATCTAGTAATTTGTTGTTACTGTCGTCGTTAACACTATATACGCGTGGTTCTTATTGTTATTTCTATTCCTATTTATTATATTCCAGCGTTTGTATAAGCTGTTTAATAGGCACCTATAATTCGGCTGCAAAGTCTATCTCTATATAGCTATAGAACTTTTCTTTATTAAATATAACATCCCGTGTTTATATAGCCTTTTCTAGGCTAGGAACCTAGATAAAATAGATGTTTAATAATTTGTAGCCTACTAGGTAGCCTATATATACACGGGGCGTTGTCTTCGGCATTTTAGGTAGGTGCTTTTTCAGCGTATAGGCACGGCAGCCAAATACCCGTAGATGGGCAATGCTTAGGTTAACCGGCGTAATTCCTAAGCCCTCCTGTATAGCAATCTAGGGGGTTTTCCATCCGATAGATTCTATAGGCGTTCTGTTTAGTAGATAGGCAGCTGTATTATATAGGAATAGCTAGAGATTTCCAGGTAGGTTATACTGCGCACGCAGGCAATAGGCTTTAAGAATAAGGATTCCACCTGCACGTTCTGCACTACTATTCTATATATAGTTTCCTGGCGTTAATTATTCTAGGACAATACTATGTTTACGTATCCAGACATAAAATAGATAATCTTCACGGCTGCCTAGAATGCGTTTGCTATTAGTCTTTAGGAATTAAATAGTAACGCCAGGGAATTAAGTTTCTAGCTTAGCTACTTCTTCTATTAGGGCCTAGGGTAGTTCGCTCGGCGTGTTAATATTCCTAGTTACGTAATATTTCGTGGATTCGCACTAACGTAATCCACAAGTTAGTGGCCCGCACAAGCTAGTGGCCCACCCAACTCAACACGCGACGCGTCGTCCAACAACCACCCCAATGGCAGCACCACAACAACAAGAAGCCATCTTTCAAGAAGGCAGAGTTATTCTAGGCGTTCAAGCCTACAAGACCGGCCAAATTACATCCTTCCGAGGCGTTGAGAAACTATACGATGTGCCCAGAAAGACGGTTACGCGTCGCGCCCGTGGTATTCCTCCACAACGCGGTGCTATCTCCAAAAATCGCCGTCTTACACCTGTACAAGAAGAGGTTCTTGTACAGAGGATTCTGTCGATGGA